AAAAAAAAAAAAAAAAAAAAAAAAAAAAAAAAAAAAAAAAAAAAAAAAAAAAAAATTTTTTTATATTATAATAATAATAATAATAATAATAATAAATTAAATAAACTGATAATAATAATAATAAGATAATATAATAATAATAATATATATAAAAAAAAGTACATTGTGACCGTTCTGGTACTACTGATAACTCGAAAGCCCCCTTGATTCAAATGGTATAGCGTAAAAAATTTTTTATTTTATTAACATTTTTAGTTTAAAATAAAAAAATTTGGGGTTTAGAATTTTTTTTCTTTTTTGTTCGAAAAAAAAAAAAAATATTCCACAGAAACAATCTAAAGAATCTATTGTTGTTATTATCCGTTATTCATAAAAATTTTTTTTCTTAAAAAAGTAAAATCATTTTGAATATATTAAAAAAAATTTTTTTTTATTTTATTTTTTAAAAAAGAAAAAAGAACCAGAACCAAACTTTTTTTTAAAAAAAGAAAAAAGCATGCGAATCAAACAAGAAACAATATGGAAGAAAAAATTGCAGATATTTTTTTTGACTTTATTTGGTAATTCGTTGGCATTTCCAGTTTCTTGTGTAAACAAATTAATAGATACAAGATGGTATCATTATTAAAGATCGAAAAATGGTTTCTTAAACAAAAAAAGAAGAAATATCTGATAAATTAGAATATTTAAAATATATTAAAATACATTTTTTTAATATTTCATTTATAATTTATAAATTTCAAATGTATTTTTTATTATTTACAATATTAAATATATTTTATCATAATTATATTATTATATATATTATAACATACACAAAAAAAAACTTCTAGATCTTTTTGAAACTAATTCTTTGTACATTAATTCTTAGTACATTAAAGGAATAATGTGAAAGAGAAGAAATAACTTTATCATTAATAGTTTTTTTACGCACAAACCACATTTCACAACAATTAATCGTATTATTAATTTACGTCTAATCGAATATTCTATTTTTGGTAGAATCATGGTAAAAAGGGTTGGCTTCGTTAAAAAAGATTTAGACTGCGGAAAAAAAAAATGATTACAATAATTACCGCAATGGCAGAGTCATTCTTACAGTTGATGAAATTAGGTTTTTTTTGACATCTAAAATAATCTTATAATCTAGAATATTGTCATACTTAAGTTAACTAACTTGATTAAAAATTTCTCTGAGTTTTAAATTCCAGAGTCAGAATATTTTCCTTATTTGGTAAAGACAATATGGATATCATATGATCTGTTTGATTATCTATCATCTCATACGTTTAAAAATAATTGTTTGATATTTATGTCCCTAATTAGTAATTTGGCAAAAAATTATATGAAATTTAATAATAAATCGCGATTTTCTGTTCGAAAAAAAAAGTCGGCGTCAAATCAACGTACCATATATTATTCCGTGAATATTTATAAATACGCCAATTTACCACTTTTCTTTTTCTTATCGATATATTTTGCATTTAAACCCTTCGTAACATAACGCGATTTAAAGTTTTTTTGTCGAATCATATTCACCACGGGTTTTTTAGGATGTAATTATGTATCACCCGATTATGTAAGTTCTTTAACTTTTTACCTGAGAGAATATGTAAATATGTTATATATATAATTAGTGATACTTCTTAAAGTTTGCTCCACAATCCTTCGGAAGTTACAATCAAATATCTATTTTCCGATTCTTTTGCAGAAAATTATTTACTGATAACACACACGCATATGAATATGAAAGAATTTGTAAATTTTAAATCGAAATGAAAGAAATAATTATGTATAACCTTGAGAAAAAGGAAATTATTAAATTTACCAAATTTATTCATTTGGAAAATCATTCTTGTGAGAGAAAAGGAGGGAAAATATTAAATTTACCAAATTTATCCATTTGGGAAAAAAAAAGTGGCTTTCCGTCGGATATTATCCGATTAAAACTAATGGTTGGATCTAACGCGTAAAAAATAAGTTGTGTTACTTATTTTTAAAGGAGTCTGAGTCTGTTAGTGGATTACCTCTTTTTTAATTATTAATTAATAATGTTACTGCTTATATATTTGTTTTTTTAATACATTATTTTTATGACTTGATCTTAATATACCTTAATTACCCGATATATTGTTGATATATAAGTATATTTATTGGAAGATTTTAGACTCCTAAAAATTTATACTAAATTAAATTTTAACTTGTTTAACTTATTAATTACCATGCAAAGCACTCATTACGATAATTTTTTTTTTTGAATTTATATATATTTATATATTTATTGAATTAATGAACAACTCAGTTAGAATTTATAAATAGTCCTTCCAAGATAAATGTATCTAGATTTGGTAATTTTATCTCCCATCCTAATGCCGTAAAACGTTAGATAACACTAAAAATAAATTGGTATAAAAAAGAGCCACATAAAAAAGGATCAATTTGCCAATTTTTAAATTTTAAAATTTTTACACTTTCCCTTCTTTTCTTAACATCCCTTTTGATAAAAATATGGTATTAAAAGCAAGAGCTATCTTTGATTGTGCTGCGGACGATGATCAAGAATTGTCTTTTAAAGAGAATGCGATTATTGTGGATAGTAAGTTCATTATAATGATTTTTTTACTTTATTTATATATTATTCAACTTAAATTTTTATTACAGTTGTTGAATCGACTGACAAAGGCTGGTTTGAAGGTACTTTAGAAGGTTCAAAAATTCGTGGTTTATTCCCTGATAATTATGTCGAATTTTTTGAAGTGGAAGAGGTATGTAATTGATACTAACTTTATTTACTGTTTTAATTTTTAAGTGATCATAATTTGTGAATGGAAATTCTTTATAGAAACAATTAAAACCTCCTCCAAAACTTCCTCCACGAAAATTATCTAACGATACTAATGGTGTTATTGAAAATAGTACACCCTCATTTAATAAAAAATCCTCAGATGATCCTGTCAACAATTCTGGTATATACATACATATTGTACATACATATAATAATACATACATACGTACTTTACATAATTCCTTTAAATTTTTCTTTATTTCTTACCATTTTTTTTTTTATTATTATAATTATTATTTTTTTAGGTATAACTGAGACACTTCCTGAACCAAAAAAACTTTCGGCTGCTAAATTTGCTATCTTTGAACAGTCAAATAATAATAATAATAATAATTTAAAACCTCAAAAAGCGCCCCCGATAATAAAACCAAAACCAAAAATTTATCCTGCAAACACTGAAACATCAACAAGATCTGTCGGATCCAATTTGGTTGAGCAAGAACATGAAGTGTCAACTCCATCAATTTCTGTTGTTAAAATGAAATCGATGTTGGAACGAAATGCTAAAGAACCTAAAGAATCTAAAGAATCAACTCCTTTACCATCACAAAACTCAATAAAACCAATAACTCCATTAAAACCCACGAATATTCTTCCAATTGCTCCCAAACCAGGAAAATTGGCTCCACTTTTACCTTCTAGGCCTTTAAGTACGAATTTTGAAGCAACGGATAAGAAACCTCCTTTACCACCAAGAAGGCAATCAAATGTACCTTCAATTTCAAGTGTGAATTCAAATAACGATGCGCCTCCACCAACTCCTCCTAGACCGTCATCAAATAATGTAAGTGAATTATAATCCACCTTATTTATAAATTCTTGTTGGGTTATGACTGTTCTTTTTTATCATATAACACCATTTTGATCAGAGCTTTTTTTTTTTACAGTCAAATTCTTATTTGACTAAGGCTACTACAAAAGCAAGGTCGGATGTTCAAGATGTTGCTGGTGAAACAGCTAAACAAGGTGTATCAGTTGGTATTGCTCAACTGAAAGGTAAATTGAGATTATAATATATTAATATTTTCAATGAAGTCAATATTAAATTTTTTTTTATTTCAAATTATGAAGATGACTTGAATCGTTCTAAATATGGTAATAAAAAGATTCCTGGTCAAAATGCACTGTTTAACAAAGTTGAAAAGGAGGCTCAAAATATTGCTAACGATCAAGCAAAAAAGAAAGTTGGTGAAACTTTTGACAAGAATATGAATGAAATTCAAAACAAATCAACATCGAAACCGCTAGCACCATCTCGAAGTAATAACATTATAAATGATCAAATATCTCCTAAAGCGCGGCCACCTTTGCCTACAAGAAATAATGATATTAAAATTCCTCGTAGACCTACATCACATAATAACCCTTTCGGTGGTAAGAAGTTTTTACTAACAATGAAATAATTTTTTTCGAATATATAAAAAATTAATATGTTTATTACTGTACTGTTGGTATAGAAAATGATTTATCCAAAGGTATTCCGTCCGACGTAAAAAAACGATATGAAATTATATATAATGCAAATAAAGATGATGATGGTTATATTGATGGTAACTTTTTTATAATATTATATTAATTAGTAATTTCGTAAAATATCATTGAGAAATTTATTTTATTAAAAAACACATTAGGTGCCGTTGTCAAAGAAATTTATTTAAGAAGTCGTTTAGATAACAAGACACTATTTAAAATATGGTAATGATTATTAATTGTTTTTCCTGCTTTGGTTATTTCTTTTAATTAAATTTTAAATTTTATTACAGGAATCTTCTTGACGATGATGAGGATGGTCGATTGTCAAGGAATGAATTTTGTGTAGGAATGTTTTTAATTGATGAGCGATTAAAAGGTCATCCTGTTCCCAATAAATTACCTCATGAACTATTAAATAATTAAATTTTTAGAGTGGTGGGAAATTTTAGAATTAAATTATTCATTGGGTAAAAATATCAATTGTAATTTTTGTAAAATATTGTAAATTTGAGATACAATCAGTACTCGCGGATATCGGATATTTAATAAACAAAATATTCTATATAATACTAAAAGTATATATTATAAATAATTAATTTGTTTACAATATTGGTACAACAATTATTAAATTTTGGCCTGGGGATAAGTCAAATTAATTGATTTCTTAATATATTCTTTATCATGGTGACTGATATATATATATATATGGCATAATGTGATTAGTTCATTATCGTTATTATAAACCATTATGTAAGTTTTAATGATACAAAATAAGTAAACAATGAACTTAATTGATTCAAAATCATTTTAACTGAACTGTAGTAAAAATAATTATATAATAAAAACTAGGGATGTTAACGGTTCGGTCCATCCGGTTTTCGGTCCAAAAACTGGTGGTTTGAGTACAAAACCGAACCGTTATAGGTTTAGAACCAGAGTTTGAACCGAAGTTTGGACTGAAGTTTAGACCGAAGTTTAGACCGGATATTTATAGTATTTTATACAAAATTGTGTAATGCAGATCATGAATTTAAATATATCGTATATCGTCAAAAAATTTTTTATTATAAGAAAAAAAATTACCAACAAAATTTCACATAATGTAAAAAAAAAGGAAAAAAAAAAAGACATATTGCAAGTATTGATTCAATTTTCCATTCTTTCTTTTTCTGATATCCAATTTTTCATGCATATAATTGCCCTTGCCGTTTCAGGATCTAACCTATTTCTAGTTTTTGAAATAGTTAATCCCGAAATTGAAAATGCCCTTTCTGATGGAACCGACGTTGCTTGGATTGTTAAATAATCCTTAGCTATTTGAGATAGTACTGGGTAATCCTTTTCATAAGTTTTCCACCAAATTAAAGAACCTGTATTACTATCTACTGGAGAATTTAAGTATCGATCTAATTCATCATGCGATACTTCTTGACGAATATTATTTGGATTAAGTAAATTAAGAAAATAATCACGAGATGATCGTGCTGGTGCTGATGGTATGGTTTGATTATTTAAGGGTAAATATGACAAATATAATTCTTGTAATTTACTAATAATTTCAGTTATATCATTATGACTAAATAATGTGGTTTTGTAGCGTGGATCTAATATTGAAGAAGTAATGGAAGATTGATTCAAATATTTGTCCCAATAGGCTTTCAATTTATTACAAATTGCTGATGCTATTGCCTTTTGTGTATGGTGATTTCCTCTTTGATAATGATCCAATTTTTTAAACATTCCATTAAAAACCAATCTTATATCACCTTGTGTAGGATTTTTTGATGATGATAATAAATTGGTTGCTTCATACATAGGTTCTAATACCTTTGCTAATTCCTGTAAAAAAAAAAATAATAATTAATAAATATATAATTATAAAATAAAATAAATAATAATTTATAAAATAAAAAATACCTTAATATGTCGCCATTCAGATATTGTTGGAAATAAATCTCCAAGTTCTTCAACATTTGTTGTTGCAAGTAATTCTGAAACACCCTGCATTAAGATTTGTCTATTAATCATAAAATATGTGGAATTCCAGCGAATGTCTATATCTAAAATTGGTTTAAGAAATTTAACTTTTTTAAGGGTACAAATTTCTGATAATTTATCCAAAAATAATGGTGAATTCTTGATTTTAACAACAAATTGACGAAGTTTTTTGATTTCATTTCCAACATGACTCATTCCTGCTTTTACTGCTAAATTTATAATATGTGCAGCACATCTGTAATGAGTAAAAGCCATATTATTAAACTCCTGATCTAATTCAGTTGCTAGTTGATTACCACATGCTATCATGTAGCTTCCATTGTCTGTAGTTAATGCAAGAATATTATTACTGATACTAAACTCTTCAAGAATTTGTAAAAGCTTGCTAGTAATTAACCCAGCTGTATGAGAACCATTTACAGGAATTAAATCAAGTAAGAGATTTTTTAATTCCCAATTGTTGTTAATATAATGCATTGTTACTCCAAGATAACAATCTTTTGAGATTTCTGAAGTCCAAATATCAGTAGTAAGAGAGATTTTTGAGTTAATTTGTGAGACTTCATTAATTAACACATTTTTTCTCATTTTATAATTTTCTATGAATTTTTCCTTTAAGGTTTGTCTGCAAGGTAAAATATAGTGGGGATTCAATTTATTAATTAATAATTTGAATTCAGGATTTTCAACAATGGTAAAAGGTTGCAAATCAGTTGCAACAAAATCAACCAAAGAATCTGTTATAGGTTTAGATTTTGATGGAGAGTAAGGTTTAAAACGTAAAGTAGTTTGGCGGGTTTCAGGTTTTTTATAATGTGATGGATGTTTTTTAGTTAAATGACGTCGAAGTGTAGATGTTGGATTACCAGGTGAATAAAGTTTTGCACACAAAATACACTTATAGTTTGTAATTAACCAACTTTCCTCATCTTGAATTTTTTGAAAAAACTCCCAAACATCTGCTGACAATTTCTTATTTATAATTCTTTCATCATCAGATGCTAAGGAATCATCTGATAAATTATTATCGTCATTTTCAAAAACTCCCGACATAGTTGTAATAATGCAAGGTGATATAAAAAAATGTAAGAATGTAAAATCCGTTATTCTTTTATTGTAAAAAGTTACGCGTGCAGATACACGTAACCGTTAATTGAACCGATCTAAAACCGGTTCACTAAACCGGTTTCTATCTGTTCGGTCTCGGTTTGGTTTGACGTTTGAACTGAACTGAAACCGGTCCTATGATCAAACTGCGGTTCGAACCATCCAATCATAAACTGTTAACATCCCTAATAAAAACCCCAAAATATAATTATTATACTGTAATTAAAAAGAGGGTTTTTTATATAATGATTATATAGAAAAATTTTATAAAATACAACTATATAAAAAACTGATTCATTAAATATATTTAAAGAATATTCTAATAACTATATAGTAGTTATTTTTATTCTATTTTATAAGCATTATTTAAACTTCATTTATATCTGAAATTATAAAGTAAATAAATAAAAAAATTTTAAAAATCCTGAAAATATTGTTATTAAAAGTAAGTATATTTGATCTAATCCAGTTATATAAATATGAAAATAAGTGTATAATAAAGCATTATATAAAGGTTGTGACATATATTAGCTAATATTGCTTTAATAATAATATTTACCTTACCCCTAAATAAGATATTTTAATCATATGCATAATAATTACTTTCCTTTTTAGGTATTATTAAATATTAAATAGTAAATTTTTTTTTTTCATCTTTTTTTTTTATTTTTTTATTTAATCTTTTCATTAAACTGCAGTACGTCTGTTTTTAATACTTTAACAAAATTCTTTCTCTCAAACAAAATATTCAAAATAGCAATACTTCCACTGACTAAACAAAAAATTTGTAAAACAAGATTTGATCAATTAAGAAATTTAATGTTTGTTTATAGACGTTTTTTTAATCCTAATAATGATGTAGCTTTCAGAAAGATTTTTGCTATAGAACAAAATAAACCACTTTTATTAAGTTTTTTAAACTCAATATTAAGACGAAAAGGTAATAATATAATTGAAGAAGTTAAATTATTACCTCAAAATTCTACAAAATCTATTTTAAATGTTTCTTGCTATGATAAAAGTGGATATAGATATATTGTTGAAATGCAAAACAAAAGATTCAGCATATTTATTCAGAGGTTGGAGCATTATATTTCACATAGTACTTATTCTAATCAACTTCAAAATGTAGATTATTTAGAACTAAAACCAAAAATTCTATTAACTATTTTAAATCATAAAATTTTTCCTAAAGAAATTAAATATATTAGCTATTATTCCAATTGTGAAGAGAAAACAAATAAATGTTTTTTACCAAATATTTCATATGCATTTATTGAACTTCCAAAATTTGATAAATGTAATAAACAACTTAAAACTCCTGAGGATTATTGGATATATTTATTAAAAGAAGCTGGCAATAAAAATGAACTTCCAAAAAATGCACCTAATGAAATTCAAGCAGCTTATAAAATTCTAGAAATATATAATTGGAATTTAGCAGATGTTAAAAATTATGAAAATACTATGATGGCAATTTTAGATCGTAATGATGAAATTATAACTGCTATAGAAGAAGGTAGAGAAGAAGGTAAAAAAGAAGTTAGAGAAATAATTGAATACCAACTTTTAAAAAAAGGATGGTCTTCTCAGAATATTTCAGATTTTTATACAAATTTATTAGTTAAGAAATCAAATAATTAATGAAAAAATAGGATATATAGTAAATTAATATAGTACAATATAATGTAATTAGTAATAATATAAAAGTATAATTAGTATAATTATAATCAACCTATTATATTTAATAGTTATAATATTTTATTTTAATTTTTTAAATGTAATAATTGATTATATTTTCCAATTATATTGCAAATAAAACAATTATAATAAGAAAATTACTATGTATAACTGGTGGTGATTTTCACTGGTGGCTGGTTCATGTAATTTGTGTATATACTGATCGTGTAACTAATTTGATTATTAATTAGAAATCAGGACAATTAGACTTTTTTTTCTTCTTACGGTAAATGAAAGGACCTTAACAAAACAACATTTCTCTCTAAAGGTAGGTTATATTTCCAAGAAAGTTAACCATTATTTTTATGTTTCAAATGTTAATATTAGGATTTTTTTTTTTAGATATAGACGAAATTCAACATTATTTAATGGAGCCACTCATTTCTCACATTAATAAAGTTAACGAAAACTCAGAGAAACAAATATTGTCTGCTGAAAATGATGAGCTAGCGAATGATGATGACAATATATATTCTGATTCATCAGACCCATCAGAATTTCGTGTTAGTGATTCTTTTAATGATTGGAATATGGTTCAAGATAGAGTTAACATGTATGTAAAACACCATAGTTTTGTTGTAAGTAAATATCGTTTAGACCTTAATACTATTGATAAATCTATAGTTCAGCGTCGTATTTTTAAATATTGGAAATTTGGTGTTAATAAACCAAAAAAGGTGGAAAATATTAGTTTACATCATGATAGTACTTCTGGTAAAATGGGCTGCCCATGACATGTTAGCTTTTATCGTGGAAAGCAAACAGGAGAAATACGTCTTACTAAGTTTGTTAACATTCATAATCATCAATGTGATACCAAAACTATAGAATTAGCACTAAGGAATTTCCGTCTTTCACAATCAATTTTAGATAAAATTGAACACTATACACTTAATGGTCAATTAATAGCTGATCAACAATATGATCTCCTTCTTAAAGAATTTTCTCAACATCGTATTTGTAATAAAAATTTATATAATGCTATTAACAAATTTCGAGGTGTACAAACTCATGATGAGTTCGATGCATCTACATTATTTTCATATCTTTTAAGACAGCATGATAATGATCCCAATTTTGTGGTCATTTCACGTTTAGAAAGTCAGTCTAATGAACTTACAGGTCTCTTTTGGATAACCAATCAACAACATAATAAACTCTGGCTACAATTTCATGATGTAGTTATTCATGACAACACAGCTAAAACCAATTATTATGAAATGGCTCTTAGTTTATTTGTTGGTGTTGATCGTGATTTTAAAACAAGAATTCTTGCCTAGACTTTAACTAAATATGAAACTACATCTGATTATATCTGAATCTTACGATGCACACTTGAAGTAACACAAACTCAACCTATAGTATTATATACAAATGGAGATCTAGCAATGATTGCAGCTGTTCAAATAGTATATCCACAAACCCAACATCTATTATGTATTTATCATATTATGGAGATGTAAAAAAGAAAGCCAGATGTAAGCTTCATGGTGATATGGTCAAAAATTTTATTGGAGATTTTTATCATATGAGAAATAGTTACACTCAAACTCAATTTGATTTGAGATTTAATGATATACTTTCAAAATATGAACCATATCGTTCTTATCTTGAAAATAAACTTTACCCTAGTCGTAATTCTTGGGCTAGATATTCCATTGCAAAAGTATTTACAGCAGGGGCGAAGTCAACACAACGTGTTGAATCTATTAATGGTGTACTGAAAAAACATTTAGATCGTGGTACTTTACTAAAGGATTTAGTAAAAGTAGTTGAAAGTGAATTGAAAAAAGAATTACAATATATCCGAATTAAAGACTATTATGGTTTAAACCCATCAGTAGGACTTCCTTCAACTTTTAATACGATATTTAAAGAAATTGATAATATTTTACAAGCTCATTTATCACTTATTCCATTGTCTCTTCAACGTACACAGATGAAATAGTTTTTATTATACCAAACTCTAATAGAAATTAATCAAGTAAGTTATTTTTTATGTGTTAATTTTGCATCGATAAGGGAGTTAAAAATTAGGATTAGGGTTAGTTAGAGTTAGGGTTAGTTAGGTTAAGGTTAGTTGGTTAAAGTTAGTTAGTTAGGGTTAATTAGTTAGGGTTGGTTTATTAGGGTTTGTTTATTAGAGTTTAGGATTAGAAATTGGATTAGAGTTACGAAAAAATCTCATTGTATTTTTTTAATCTTCTATGCAGGTCACAGAATCTAATTCAACATTTGGTGATATAATTGAGCATGAATATGATTTGCCACAAATTCGATTACATGAGCTTATATTAGAGATTTCTTATATTGCTACTACTTCTTCATCACCTACTACACCACATTATCTTGTTATTCTTAAGGATTCATCATTAATTTGTACTTGTATGAGTAAGGTTGCTTGCTGAAACCTAGAGGTTTAGGCAAGATGGCGTTTCACCGAAAAGCGAAATTCTGCCAAAACTATATTAAAGTTATATTAAAAAACTGGCAAAACTTTGGAGAAAGACGAAACTGTTGAAACTTATTATAAATGCCGAAACTGCCGAAACTCTGCCGAAACTATAATAAAGCTATAGTAAAATTTTGACGAAACTAATCATAAGATTTTGAAGAGGTTTAGACAAGCAACCTTATGCATGAGTATTATAAATAAAGGTATACTATGTAAGCATTAGTATCGCGTTCTTATTTAGTCAAACAAGGCAGTATTTCACATTATATTTATTAATAATTGCTAGTTTGAAGTAATTTCATCTGATACAAATGTTGTGATTACTCAGAAAATGAAAACTAGTGCAAATATTTCTTTGCAATATATTGAACAAATCAGACCTACTAATGTTATTATACCAGCTATTAGAGAAAAAGTTAATAAAAAGGTTCAATTTGGTACTGCAATGTCATTAGCAAAAACAAGTGTACAAATCGCAGTATCAGAAGGTGCTATAACAGAATTTATACATGTTGCCAAAATATTTTGGCTATTTTGCTAATGATGCTGGGCGAAATTGTTTTTTATAATCCAAAATATTTCGGATTTTTATCTAAAATCCTAAACTTATTCCAAATCCAAAACCCTTTCCGAAATCTGATTTAATATCCGAAATGACGAAATATAATAATTATGTTAAACTAACTAAATTAGTCATTTACTTTATTTTTATATACCAATCATTTATTTTATTAATGTATTACAATTTGCAATATCGATATAAAACTATTTTATTAAAATACACAATTTGAAAGTGGTAAAAAAATTATCTATTTAGTAGTTACAAAGTATTTCCAATTAAATCGTCATCTAACAAATGTTATTGAACTAGTTCTTCAACATCATAATCACTTTCTGTTTCATTTTCACTATTATTATTAGCACTATCATTTAAATTCTCACTATCAACGTCACTACCAACATCGCTATCACTATCACTTTCAACATCACTATCATCTGAATTTTTATCATTGTTATTTAACCCTTTTACTGTATCTTTCAAATCAAAATAATTCTCAATAATTAAAACCCGAACTTCATGATTAGGAATTTCTAAAGTAGGTGATCTTATCCTATTATCAACCTCGTCATCCTCTTCTTCAAATTGTAAAAATGTTGAATTATTAATCATTTCGTATAATTCTTCATTTGTATATTGTTGACTAGTAGAAGTAAGCTCATTTTTCATATTAGACAAATAATATGAACGAATTTTTGCCATTGACTCAATTGTTGAAAGATCCAAACGTTGCCTTCTCTTGCCATATAATCAACCAAAAGTAGAAAAAATCCTCTCGCATCTTGCAATATGTGGAGTAATAGAAAATATCATTATTGCTAAATCTTTAAGATAATCATATTTGTTTTTGATTGAATACCACCTTATTGGTGTTTCAAGACTGTTATCAAAATCTTGATTATACGGACTACGTCTCAACTCATAATTGCAGATTTGTGCTAAAAGATGGTTACATGACTTTTTATCACCACCATTATTTCGCCAAATTTGACCTGCAGTAGTGGTTATAATTTTCCAATATTCTGTTTTTAATCCTTGTCCTATTAGAAAAAAATTAATAAATAATTTGTTAGTAATTTAATTAATGAAAATTCGTTTAGTACTTCAGTTGAAAATAATAAATTTACTAACCTTGATAATTAGGATGTAAAAAATACAATAAGATATATATATTTGGATCAAACTTATCCCAATATTTATTAAATGACTCGATACAATGTTGATGAAATCCTACCATTCCTTGAGATGGTAATTTTTTAATAGCATTCGCTAGTAAAATCAATTGAATAAAACAATCGGCAAGATTTGTACTTGCACTTTCAAGTAAGGTGATTGCGGTTTTAATGAGCTTTAGGACTTTGGTTAACTTGTTAACATTCACAAAAAATTCTGAGCTTTTAATACTTTTTTTAACTGATTTATTTGTAATCTCATCAGGATTATTCATCAATACCTGTAAATATAATATTTATTAATTATTTTTAAATTTAAGCAATTATAATTGATAAAGTTGAAAATAAATAGACTTACATGTTCTAATGCAATTCGTAAACGTGAAACTGAATTTGCAGCTTCATACATAGATGTCCACCTTGTTTCAGAATAAGTTTTAAGACCTCCACCTTCAATTTGTAACGTAGTAGCAGCATCAGCCAATAATTTTCCTACTATATGAGACCGTTTAAAGAATGATATAATTCGATTGCAACTTTTAATTGTTTGTTTAGCCATATCATGCCCTAAAAAATTAATAAATACTTGGTATAAGAATTAATTAAATAAAAATCATAATATATTAATATTCTTAAAGCATACCCATTATTTGTTTAGTTATTAAATTTATAAAATGTGCGATATATCGAAGATCAATAATATTGGAAAATTGGCTTGTAACTATTTCTCGTGCTTTAACACAATTTGCAGCATTATCAGTAACTAATGCAATTATTTTTTTGGAACCAATTTTTCCAATAATATTAGTAATCTCGCTTGGTAGAAACTCTTCCGTATGATGATCACTTGAATAATCATTAAGGGAGTAAAGATATTGTTCACGATCAGGTGTTAAAATTATGTAATTATAAATGGAAGCACCACTCAGACTAGTCCATCCATCAATCGCTTTATAGAGTTAAAGAATTAAATGAATAATTAATAAATTATAAATTATTAAAACAATAAAAATATATTTAAAAAATAAGCTTACCAAGCGTTAGATTCTCAGAATCTTCGATAATTTTCTTAACCTTTTTATTAATTCTTGCCGTTTCTTGATTTAAAAATCTACCACTAAGCAATTCCTGGTCTCATTTCATGAAGAAATTCAATAAAAAATGGGGTTTCAATAATTGAAAATGATATCCTACAACACGTAAATGTGCACACAAGAGCCCGAGTGATGGAAGCTTCTTTTTGAGGAATTATTTTGGCAGACTCGAACCAATCAGTTAACTCTCGTTGTTCCACCTGAATTTTTCTTTTTTTATTATTTTCTGGTGAAGGAATAGAGGCATCTTCACTTCCAAAATCTCGTGAAGAAACTACACCCAAATAAAATGCATAGACTAATTCTGGATACTCTTTGCAGTTATTAGTTAAATGTTCTTCTAATTGTTGTGGTGACCACGAGCCCAAAAAGTTTTACAATAATTACATTTAGCTGAAAAATGACCGGCAGACTTGATAGGTTTTTTTTCAAAATGCTTCCACACTTCATTCTGAGGATGACCACTGGGCTTTTTTTCTTTTTGCTGAGAGTTCATTTTAATTTTTATTACAATAACGCGAAAATACAAAAAATTAAAATAGGAGTACTAAGGTTGCTTGCCGAAACCTAGGGGTTTAGACAAGATAGCGTTTCGCTGAAAAGCAAAATTCTGCCGAAACTATATTAAAGTTATATTAAAAAACTGGCAAAACTTTGGAGAAAGGCGAAACTGCCAAAACTTATTATAAATGCCGAAACTGCTGAAACTCTGCTGAAACTATAATAAATCTATAGTAAAATTTTGATGAAACTAATCGTAGGATTTTGAAGAGGTTTAGACAAGCAACTTTAGGGAGTACACAAATAATGCGACAATGGCGACATTACCAATATATAGCTGACGAAATTTAGGGGGGGAATTGTGTTAAAATACTTAAATGAATAAAATGATCGTGTTAAAGTGATTACTAATTTATCATTACATAACTATTGACAAGGTAAACGAACTTAGGACAGGAGGTTTTTTTTATTTTTCTTCGTGTAACTGCTATATAATCGATCAAATTAGATCTAACATCTAAAGATCTTCATTGTACCTATATTATTAATTTCGTCATATGACGAAATATTCAGAATTTTGAAATTTAAAATGGAATGCCAAATATATTTCGGTTTCGTCACATGATGAAATATTTTGATTTCGCCCACATGACAAACTCTTCAAAGCAAAATCATCTGATTTCATAGATCTGGCTGAAATTAGGCTTCAAATAGGTTAATCCGGGTTTGAAGAACCTATGAAAGAACTTTTGAGGAATTTTGACCAACTTACATAATTTCGGCAGGGCTCCGGAATTTCGAACAACCTATATTTAATATATGGCCAAAACTTTAAAGTCCGATTCGAAATTATTACAGATTACCGAAATTTTCTGAAGTCTGCTAAAAGTTGCTGCAAATCTGGCCCAAATTATTTGAGGTTTAAAAAAATTTATTGATATTTGATATATCTACAAGTAGCTATATCTTGGAGCCGAAATGCGGCCAAAATTGAAAAAAAGTTTCGGCAACATGTATAACAGAATTTATTGGGATGCTTATACAATTCAATATAAAATATCAGTATAGTACTGGATTTGGTATAGAAGAAACTCAAAATTTATCTATAGAAACTCAATCAAATAGCTGGATACCTTTGGCCAATTTGGATACCAATAACAATTACAATATTTCTAATCCAGAATATCATAGACTGAAAGGAAAACCTCCAAAAAGGTATAAATCATCAATAGAAGAAAATTCTACTAAAAATGCTTTGTCTAAAAAGTGTAGTTATTGTTTGGATAAGAGACATAATATTCGAAGTTGTGAGAAATACAAGGCTGATAAGAAAAATATGAATAGCATTACAAATCATTAAAGCATTAGGGAATTAAGTTTCTTTAAATTTAAAGTGATTTTCTTGATATATTAGTATTAGCATTGTATTGTTAATTAATATTTTTATTATTTTTATTGCATTTTATAATTGAAAATTTCTTAAAATACACTAGTGTGCGAAACACGGGTCACGTAACTTTAATTTGTCACCCATGTCACACCCTTCTAGTTTTCCATTTTTACTATTTATTCTAGGGACTTGAATTTTTTCAGTAAGAAAAACCTTATTTGTCACATATTATATGTCGCGCCCTATAATTTCGGCCAAATTTATAATTCCAGCCAAAATTTACCTGAATTTCCCTTTTTGGATACTGGAGTAACGTTACATAACCCAAAAAAGGAAATTTTGATTCTCAGTAAAAATGAAAATTCGTTACACAAAATTCCAAAAAAGGAAATTTTTATGTAGATCACCAGAAAGTATGATAAACACTTGATTCGTGTTTCGCACACTAGTGTACAAATAGAAATAGTCTTTATAATTATAATATAATTTTATTATTTTGTGAAGCATAATTAATAATTATTATCACGTGAATCAGCCACCGGTAAAAATTACCACCGGTTATAAATAGCAAATTTGTTATAATAATTACTGATTTAAAATACCCTTCTTTTTGCTATATTAATCTTAATTTATTTTTTTCTTTTTTTTTATAATTTTTTTTTTCTTTTAAATTTATAATAAATAACACTTTTTTTTTCTTTAAATATACTATAAATTTCAATATCTTTAAAATATATTATTAAATTAAATAAATCTAATAATAAGCCATTAGATTTAATTTTTTTATATAAAATATTTTATTTAATTAATTACAAAAAATTAAATACTTTTTTTTTAATTAAATTTTTATTTTAAAAACTAAAAATAAATGTAAATACTAGAATAATAAATTAAGATGATGATAATAATGTAAAATTTGAAATAGTTATATTTTTATTTTTTTTTATTAATTTATATAGATGTGATTTTGTCTTAATATAACTACATTTACTTACATATACTAAATTTATAAAAATAAGAAATATATAATATATATAAAAACAAGATCCTGCCTACTACTAAGATATGTTACTGGTAGAAATTTCACTTTCATATGAAACCTTACCTTAGGATAGGGATTGGAATCGATTCCCATTATTAGAATCGATTCTGAAATTGATTAATCGCGATTAATCATTTCACAAATACCGATTTTTTTTATACTATTTAAAATAGGTGTGTTTAAACACATATCACGTGATTACAAAATTACAGTGATCGACTAACAAATTTCCTTTTTTTGGAAATTTGTACAACCTTGTGCGATAGCAACTTAAATTTTATTGGGAGATAAAATTTCCTTTTTAGGAAGTTTGTGTTCAGTCACGTGATTCGTGGGCGGAATTATGAATTTGGCCAAAATTAACTATTATGAACAAATAATAATTTACGGTCAAATTAACGAAACTGCGCCACAATAAGTAGATTCGATTTTTATTCGAGATTCGATTTAAAATCTATTCTTATCGATTTTTGATAGTTTCGATTTTAATCGAATCTTTTCCGATCCCTACCTTAGGATTTGCTTAAAATTTATTGGTTAATTAACTAAAAAAAAAAAAAATCATAACAATATAACAAAAAATTTCCTTTTATAGTAGGATCTTTAAAGAGTTTTATATGTAAACTTTATCTTAGGCCACAGAGTGACCTATCTTAATAGTAGGCGGGGTCCTATAAGAACTAAACATTATATTACCATTACAAATAATGATATAACTAAAATTTTAAGTGACTATCAAGATCTACCTAATAATTTGCCCAATGACTTCCCTAATAAAATACAGTCAACTCTCTTTATAGTTACACATTTGGAACAGTCTATATCTGGCGATTATAAAGAGATGTGACTATATAAAAAATTTCTTATATTTGTATAATTTTAGTTAAAATTATACTTAAAACTTTATTGTATCGTAACTCTGCCAATATTGATTGTAAAAAAATGATCTTACTGCCATTTAATTCGTCTTGATGAGACAGTTTTAATGATATAAAATACATCAAAATCCAATCACTAGATTAATATCTAAAATTAAAAAATATTAATGGTTTTTGTGTAATAACTCTGCCAATATTGATCTTAGAGAGATGAACTTATTACCATTCAATTTGTCTTGATGAGACTAAAGTTGCTTGTCAAAATTAGGGAGTTTCGGCATGTCAAAATTGTTAAAACTATTTCAACATTTCGACATTGGCTTTCTGATTTGTTGAAATGCTGAAATAGTTTCGATATATCGAAATTGTTAAAACTTAAAAATATTATGTTTTACGTAATAACTTGGCATCCAATGATTGTAAAAAGATGCACCATAGCTCATTGGGATCGTCTCATAATGATAAGACGAATGGTGGTTAGATCGTCTTTCTACTTTGCTAATGTTTACGGCCAAGCCTCCCTCTACTTCTTTTTGAGGCATTCTTGGGCTAGTATCTTATCATCTTCATTGGGCAACCATTATACCGAGTACTTAATTTCTCAGATAACAGCACCACTACAGAAGACATCCCCCATCGGGTTACTTTTAAGGCTGATCTGAAGCTAGAAATACACCGCCTACTCATCCTATACCCATTGCATGATAATGGTACTCAATTTTATTTTACGACCTTTAGAGAGCACATACTTTCATGGAGGACTTTTGACAGGTAACATCAACCATCTAGTACCCTTCCATACCACCATTTTAGGTACTAAGTCTCATTCAAAGGCCACTATAGCTTGCGATTACCTAGCACTGATAGTACAGTTGTTTACCCCAAGTGGTATACTTTGTAGTGACCATTCGGACAGGAAGTAGCAGACATCTGTCCAGGATCACTCCTTATGGTAGGTATCAACCACCAAGGATCACCAACCAGGACCCAAAGAGTAGGAAATCGAACCCCATAACCATGCTATCTGTTCTGTGCATAAACACCTTGGTTGGTCTAAGACTTAACAAAAGGTCAAACTACCACTAAGACATTGCACCCTCAGCTTTACCATCTAGGACGACCATCTAGCCATTACTGAACCAAGCGGTATCATGGGACCACCCAGATAGGAAGTCCCCCCTAAGGTATAGTAGTGACCTCAAGGACAGGACTGCGCACATGCCAATGGCCTCATGGGGAACTAAGGTTGCTTGCATAACCTAAGGGTTTAGGCAAGATGGCATTTCGCCAAAAAGCGAAATTCTGCTGAAACTATATTAAAGTTATATTAAAAAACTGGCAAAACTTTGGAGAAGGGCGAAACTGCCGAAACTTATTATAAATGCTGAAACTGCTGAAACTCTGCCGAAACTATAATAAATCTATAGTAAAATTTTGACAAAACTAATCGTAGGATTTTGAAGAGGTTTAGACAAACAACCTTATAGGGAACGTTAGAAGGACACCATGACCCTTGGTTGAAATGTGCGGCCTAACTGTACATACTAATTCACCATGATGCAGTTCAACTACGCTAATCCCTGTACCTTCACACTATTGGTTGTAGCGTCCGCAGTAAAATTCGTTTAATTTCTGTGATCGGCGGAATTGAACCTGTGACCTCACAATACTCAGGCTCAATGAGGGTTTCAGTCACTTACCACTGAGAAAGGGTGATCAACCCTTTGGATTATCTTTTTACGATCACTGGATGCCAAGATATTGAGCGAAATGTCAAAAATTGGCATTTTGTATTTTGCGATACTGCATCATTTGACATTTCACTTAATAACTTAGCATCTAATGATCGTAAAAAGATTCACCATAGCTCGTTGGAATCGTCTCATAACGACGAGTCGAATGGTAGTTAAATCATCTTTTTATGATCACTGGATGCCGAGATAATAGGCGAAACGTCAAACGGCACAGTATCACAAATATAGATGAAACTGAAATAAAAATACAAAAGTCGAAATGGTCAGCAAAAATTTCATGGTCGAAATACGAAACTGAAATGAATTTTGACAGTCGTAATTAATTACGAGGTTGAAATAGATTACGAGGGTCAAAACGAATTATGAGGGTCAAAACTAATTACGAGAGTCAAAACTAATTACGAGAGTCAAAACTAATTACGAGAGTCAAAACTAATTACGAGAGTCAAAAGTTAAAACGTATTACGAGGGTATGACAACGAAGGTCAATAAATAATATTAAATAATAAATTATTTTATCAATCTTTTAATATTTAATTTTAAATTTAATTTTCTTAAATAGCTATATTAAGATCTCTTTAATGATATCACTTAAAATGTTTCACCATTTCATTTTCTTTCACACTCATTTATCTTTTCCGCTATAGTATTCCAAAACATCATTCTGTTCCTACTTGATAAATTCTAATATTTGTTATTTTGGCTTGTTCTTTGGTCAATTAAGTATTCGCATTCTTCATCGGTCTAAAGCACTCTTACTGTATTATAGTTAATTACGCGACATTGATGACGAGGCATGATTTTATTAGAAAATTTGAAAGTTTGAAATTTGAAATTTGAAGTTAGAAAATTTGAAATTTAATTCCTTTATAATGTAAAAAATGTAAAATTTACACTTACGTAAATATAAAAAACTTATAACTAATTGAAATTCTTAATAATTTAATTTAATTTAATTACTTATATCAATATATTTCACGTTGTTCTTCATTGATGTTCAAACACGATATCATTAAAAATTCGTTACAGCAAATTTTTAGATTGAATCGATATTTAACTTTATTATATTACTATATTATTATGATTATACTAAAAATATGTCATTTAAAAAAATGAATTTACCATTAATTCAATGTAGAATCCAATAATTCATTAATATCAAATTCTTTTTCACCATAATCATAAGCGGATACTGCTGGTTGTTCAATAACTACTCTAACTTCTACTCTCAGCGCTTTTCGCAACTCTTCATTTATATCAAAATACTTATCAATTATTATTTCATTATTTTCTTTAGGAAGTTCTTCATTATCTTGATCAAAATCTTCTTCTTCGTCAAGTTGATTAAATTCTTCTTCTTGCTCCTCAACTTCTTCTGAAAATTCGGTAATATCATTAAAACTTTTATTCAATACGAAAAAACTCATCTTCTGTAATGTTTGAAAATACATAATTCATTTCTTTTGAGGCATTATTAACATAATAAAAATGTAATTTTGCCATTGATTGTATTCAGTCAATTGATAATCTAGAATGACGTTTACTGTACATCCACCCCAATACAGAAACAGTCTCTCACATTATCCTACGTTATGAGGAGTAATAGGACCCCGAAAAATACATAAAAAGGTCACATTTGAGTTTGTTTAAAAAGAACCTAAATTTTCATGAATCGAAAATCTTGCCTTTTTTAGATAGTGCCGGCCTAAATTTTATTGTCCGTTTTGATACTGACCAGCATTATCATAATTCCGACCCTGAAAAGTTGCTTATTTTAGGCCAAAATCTTGCCGATCATTTATAACTTCCATATGTATTTTTCGGGGTTCTGGAGTAATGGAATTAATTATTAACGCAATTTCCCTTATCCAATTATCATGCTGTTCAATCATTTTCCACCAACTCTCTATGGAAAATGTTCTAGGGATATATTCAAATTCAGATGGTACTTTGAAATCTTTATAGTTGGCCATTTAACCAACTAATTTGTTAGCCAAATTTTTGCCACCACTAATATTATTAATTAAAAGTTCAATCGACTAATGACAAATTTGGCGAAAAATACCAATTTTTAATCCTTTTTCTCTGTATGAAGGGTAAAAAAAATAACCTAATAGATATAGTTTAAAATCGAACTGACTTCACCTTAGGTTGAATTTTTCCAAACAATAAGAATGAAATTCTTGATTTAGCACATTTGGAATTTGAATCATTATTTCAAATTTCATTAACTGAATAAAACAGTCTGAAAGGGTAGTCATCTTATATTCTAAAGAAGTTAAAACTTCTTTAATCAGTTTAATAATTTTAATTAATTCCTCAACATTCTGGAAAAAAATCTGATTTCGAAGTAAATTTTTAACCTCACTACTAAGCGTATCAGGCTGGATTTCAAGAATATTATGTAAAGACCTTTCGCATCTTAAAATCGACATGAGACAATCAAAGGCTGTTGACCAACGGGTTTTGCAATATCCTTTCAACCCACCTCCTTCAATAAGATTATCTTTAATATTTTCAGATAACAAAGCTCCAGCTTTGTATGACCTATGAAAATAATTCACTATCTTCATGCATTATGATATTATTAATTTTGAAAATTCGTGTTTCATTATATCATTTATTAAAAGGTTAATATGATGCGTAATACATCTTACGGGCATTATATGTGAATATTTTTTGTTAACTAATCTTTTTGCCGCAACCATTGTTGATACGTTGTCAGATATGACTGATAAAAATTTTTCTAGACCAACTTCCTCGATTACTTTCAGAATTTCATCTAATATAAAATTAGCCGTATGTGTAGGGATTGGAATCGATTCCCATTATTAGAATCGATTCTAAAATCGATTAATCACGATTAATCATTTCGCAAATACCAATTTTTTTTATACTATTTATAATAGGTGTGTTTAAACACATATCACGTGATTACAAAAATTACAGTGATCGACGAACAAATTTCCTTTTTTGGAAATTTGTACAACCTTGTGCGATATCAACTTGAATTTTATTAAGAGATAAAATTTCCTTTTTAGGAAGTTTGTATTCTGTCACGTGATTCGCGGGTGGAATTATGAATTTGGCCAAAATTAACTATTATGAACAAATAATAATTTACAATCAAATTAATGAAACTGTGCCACAATAAGTAGATTCGATTTTTATTCGAGATTCGATTTAAAATCGATTCTTATCGATTTTTGATAGTTTCGATTTTAATCGAATCTTTTCCGATCCCTACGTATGCGTATAAAGGGAAAAATCCCTTAGAGAATGTACATATTCTTTACCTGATGGTAAAATTAAGATAAACGCATATATTGATTCACCATTTGGCCCACACCAGCCATCGAGACCTAATGTTATATTTTTAGTTGAACGAGTCTCACTTAAAATAATTTCTAATACATTTGTTAATTCTTGATCCACCCAAGGACCAGCAAATGTAACCCGATTGGGTAGTTCATATGCTGGACACAAACATTTTACGAAATCAACAAAGAACGGATTAGACATCACGCTGAACGGTATTCCGCAACATACAAATAATCGTGTAAGAGCACGATTACATCTTATTATCTTAGATTTTTCAATTTTATCACTTTCAAATATTGACGTTATCTTTTTTTGGATAATTTTTGCCTTTTTTGTTGCGGTCTCATCATTATTACTTGGCAGGAGATGATCTAATTTTAGAGATGACCTCTTTCTTATTTTCTCAAGAAAAATTTGTTTTACTTCAACCGATACCCTAGAACATGAAAGAGCCAGGTGATCTACCATTTCATATGCTTTTCCCACAGCTTTTTTCCAATTACATGCTTTGCAAATACATCCACAATGACCATGTTTTTTTCTTTATATTCTTCAAAATAGTCCCAGATCTGAGTCTTCTTTCTACCGCCAACCTTTTTACCTTGCAATAGGAATATATCTGAAAGTAAATCGTATTCAACTTGATTATCTTCTTGATAGTATACTTCTCCACTAATTAATTACGTCATATTTCGGTGAACGGACCAATTCACTATTTATTATAAAATTACTATGAATTAATTACGTCTGTCAAAATACATTACGTCTGTCAAAATAAATTTAATTAGTATTTTGTCATTTTGACAAAAAGTATACTTGATAGTCCTGATAATTAAAGTAGTCTGACTGATCTCCCATTTTTTAAACAAAAATATTCTGGACTAAAATACGCTGAAAGAAAATTTTTTAACAGAAAGAAAATAAGTTCTAAGGGGCTAAATCATGACGCATTACATCAATTTTCTATTATGTCATATGTAGATCTATAATACCCTCGTAATCATATTTTGACCTTCATAAATCATTTTGACCCTTGTAAATCGTTTCGACCTTCATAAATCATTATGACTATTATAAACCATTACGATCATTCGACTTTTATGACTTAAAATCAAAATTAATTTCGACCGTTTCGGCTATTTTAGAAGTCGAAATTAACCTAATTTCGGTTTCATGTTTAATATCGCCTAGCAAACCAAATTTAAGGAATTTTTTAAGATATAAAACAACTTAAGTAAATATTAAACTAAGTAAAATTTTAATAAAAAAATTATGGAAAGATTTTAAAACAAACTGGTTAATAAAAAGTTCATTACTTTTCTTCACAATAATCACCTTAGTTTAATGGATTAATACTTTTCTTAATATTGGATGATGCTATCAAAAAGCATATGAAAATCTTATAAACAAAATATTTTTATAAAAATTATTTATAAAAAACTTTTATAGATATTTATAAATATGAATGTGAATTTTTTCTTTTTCCTGTTACAATTAACATTATTTATTTGTTTTCCCCAGCTTTTCTAATTAGAATATATATTATACTACCTAAAAAGAAATCTAATTAATTACAGACCCTGGCGAAAAGAATGGCGGTCAGTTTTTTTGATATCACGAATTTAATTTATAGTAAAATGTGAAATATTTTTTTATTTTCTGAAAGAGGAATAGAAAATACATATATTTTATTATTTAAATAACATTTGATATGATCATCTTCCAGTGTCAATAAATGCTTTAATTTATTATTGCATACTATTCGCACTCTTAACCAGAGTTATTTTGTTATGATATTTTAATATTTTCTTAACTTTCTCGCCATCCAGAGGTCAGATTGAAACAAATTTACCACCATTGGATTCCTCTTGACTATATGGTTCGAATGGTTGTTTCAAAATTACTGTGTAGCATCTGTGTAATGTGATAGTTCAAATATAATAGTGAGTATTATGAATTTTTATGTTGTATAAAGATAATCATTTCTAAAAGCAATATAAAAGCTCAATAATATAATAAAAGACAATATTTAAATCTCATAATTGCAAGAAATCTAATAGTTAAAATTTTGTTTCAATACAAGCTTTGGTTGATGAGAAAATGAAGTTTAAACTTTTTATTTCAAACTTTCATACCAAATTCAAAAAATTATTAGTAGTATTTCTCTGTGATAATGTGATATAACAAAATGCAATTATAATATTTGGCAGTTAAAAGTAAGTGGTTTTTTTTAAAAAAAATTGGAATTTATTATTATGTAGGATTTTGAGCATTTTAAAAAAATTCATAGCAAATTATTATGCTCTGATTTCTATTAAATTTATAACTTCTTGGTTTTTTAGAAAATAAAATAGGTGTAAAAACAATAATAAAATTTCATTTTTTTTATTGATTTTTAAAATAGTATTCTAAAAATCCATTGGGCATTTACAAGTTTTAATTTAAATAGGAAAATTCTGATCTCATATCCAAAATAACAAATGATACTCGCACTGCCATTTTTTTTGCCGGGGACTGTATTTTTATTCAGAACTAGTCTTAAACTGAATATATTCTTATAGACCTTTTAAAATCTACCAGAAACACAACAACTTGTATTAGATATAAAAGTTAATTTTCCTTTTTAGTCTGACTTTAAAATGGAAAATCTATTTTAGAAATTTATTGGTTTTGATAGTATTACCTTTGGCTAAATATTTACCTAAAACTGTAAAAATAATCTTAAATTTATCTTTAAATAGACTTTGACTTTATGCCTTAGTACTGTCTTAACCTTATTTTTGATACTTTTATATTTTAAGAAAAAAGAAAACTCATAATAAATATTTTATATGGACTAGTATGTCAGATATGATATTTTTATTTTTGATTTTAGTTTTAGTTTTAGTTTTTTCTTTTATATTTTTTACTTTTTCTTTAACAATTTTAGATAGAGGTTATAATAATAGTGATAGTTAAAATGATTTATAATCTAAAATTATAATTTTGTAATTTTAGCCAAAAATTATGGTAATTATAGTAGCTAGATAGAATTATAATTTATAGATGATTGTAAAGGGTTTTTTTATTAATATAAATAAAGTTGATATCTCAACTGGTTTTTAAATAATTGTATAATTACAATTATATAATAAACATATAGTTGCAATTGCAAATTATGAGTTGCAATTAGTAAAATTTAGTTGTAGTTATTAAATAAATAATATGTATATCAAGATTAAATAGTTATAATTAATTTGTGATTGTAAAGAAGTAAATTTATATTATAAAATCTGTTTGAAAAAATGAATGCTTATTAAGAATTGTAACTACTAGTCTATTATAGAGAATAACTATATGAAGTTCTAATCATATAGGATTATTATTACATAAAAAAGGGTGAGTTTAGATTTTTAAATATATGAAAGAAAGCAATTAATTTTTTGTATTATAAATTGAGGGGAAAAAATGCATTGTTAAATTTATTATATTTACTATCCACTTTAATAAAAATTTAATTGGTATAACATCAAACAAAATATAAAATAACTGAAAAAATTTACTGGTTTTAATCTTAATAATCTGATTACAAAAAATCTAACCAATAAATGGAATATTTAAAGAACTTTGGCAAATTACTAATTAAAATAAAAATCCAATAATAAAATATCCAATAAAGTATTTACATCATTCTGGCATATTCTAGCACTTTTTGATCTTTTATTACACCACTTTATAAGCTTTATATAATTTTTCTACATGTTTTCATTTATATTTTATTATTTTTTACTATACATGCTGCCCAAATTATTTTGGGATGCCATAATTATAATTTGGGATGTCATAATTCATTCGGTTTATATATAATTTACTATGTAAAGTGCCAAAATAATTTGGGATGCCATAATTGAATTTGGGATTTTACTTATAATTACGGCAGTCCAAAATAATTTGGGTGGCATGTATATTTTTTACTCCTCAGTTTTCTCTAAATGGTTTAATATAATTATATCAATTATATTAACTGAATTTTAAATCATTAACAATATATTTTAGCACTTTAATTATTTTAGTTTAATATGCTTAATAACTAAATGGTCTTATTTGACTGAACAATAATGTACAAATATAAGAATATATGATATTTTATTTTTATAAATTGATTATTAAAATGATAACTTGCTCTTATCCAAAACATAAATCAATTATTATGAGCCATTCAATACATTTGCTTTTATATCCATAATGTTGTAGCAAATGTAGGTAAATACTATCATTTAAATATTTTTTATTCAATATTAAAGAGCTCTACTGGAATTTGTCAAAATCACAGAATTTTATCTCCAATAATCATATTTTTCTATACTTTCAAATCATTTTATATATTATATGTATTATTATACGTATTTTTTTAATTCAATTTTTAATCCAAAAACCTTTTCTTCATATAAAAAACTTTTTTTTTTTATGAGTATGGCCCAAGCTCTGTCACTTCCAAATTCAAAATTTGAAGTATTCAACCCCTTTATTTTTTCTTTCTTAACAATTAAACATTCTCTAGTACACATAATAATTCATGGTTTCTATTTTTAGGTCGTCTCTCTTCATTCACTTCTTTTACCCCCTTCTTCTTTTTCATTCTCCTCTTCCTCTTCGTTAACCTGTCCTCCAATACCAGCATCGTCTGATTGTGATTCAATAATGGCATCTTTAAGGCAACCTTTGTAGTACGCGCGAGTCTAGCGCGGGGCTAACAAAGGTGCCTATTTTTTGCAATAATCACTGTCTTTAACAATCCTCTTGCGCGTTTTTATATCTGGTATTTTCCTTAATCTATTGACAAAACTCCGTAAAAGTTGGCGTAACTATAAATTTAACATTTAGAAATAGTCCATTATATTTTTCATTCATTTTGATGTTCTTTTCAAATAGCACTATAGTAGATATTGAGGATTTCCTTATGATGATTTGAATAAGCTCCTTTCAAGGTTTATGCTACGGGTTATAAATCTAAGAAAGTACTAAATGGTGTAAAGTTAAAGTTAGCACACGCGTTATTCTATAAAAAAAATATATATATATATTCCCCGTCTTCTTTTTATTCCCCTTCTTAGATTTCGGAAAAGAACTCTTGCTATGGCCAGACTTACCACAATTTGAGCATTTTCGCGATTTGGAAGGTATGTATATTTTGAACCAAATACCTGTTTACTGCCGTAAATGTCTTCAGAATATTATACATATCACGTGATATTCTAGGTGAGACATTTGAACAAAAACAGCACTTTGGACTGCATTAAGTTTATTAAGTTTATGACATTATCGCACATCGATTTTGCATAAACCAAAAAAGTTTATTATTATTAAAAATTAAACGTTAAAAATTATTATATAAAAAAGCAAAAAGGTAAAAAAATAGCTAACGTATAATATAATACAAAGAAAAAGAAAAGGTTATGTCAGAGTGTGGTTATTTTGATTGATTGTACAAAAAAAAAAAAAAACTTTATAATAAATAAAAAGAATTCTCTTGATAAACCCATCTAAAAAAAAGTATAAAATCCTATCAGGAAAAAAATTATTTTTTTTTATATATATATTTATATTTATTTATATTTATCTTCAACGCTTTAATTTTTTTTTTTATTTTACTGTCCCAAGATATCTAAAAAATTTTTGTTTTATACCATGTTAGGCTTGATTTTTGGTGAAACAGATGAGGATGGTGGCCCACCACCTTGAGCATTCATTTGCTTTGCATAACCTACAGTTTTGAGATTGAAGTAAAATAAAGTTAACATAAATACTTCTATTTTTTTGTTTTTAGAAAGAATAAGGTGAGATAATCATCAAACATGATTGTTTTCTCGCAGATGCCATTTGAATTATTTAAAATTCTTTTTACAATAATATTTTGTTGCATCTGCTTCTTATCCACTCCGAAAATTTAAGAGTGATGATAGATGATTACAAATTTACGTACGTAAACCACAAGCGTTACATAAAGTTTTTGGACCATCGGGCCCTTTCCGCCATTCGGGCGAGTCTTTTCGTTGACAATGATGACATACCTTGTTTGAGGAAGGTGCACTTCGCTTCTTCTATTAAAGAAAGAAAAAAATAATAATTAATATATAAAAGGTACAATAAAATAAAATAAATACAAATTAAATTAATAAAATGACACATTACTCTTTTCTTCTTTGAATGTTTAATAGATTCTAATTCTTCTCGTAATTTCTTATTCGTTAGTCGCATTTGATGCAACTCATATTGCCAACTCGTACTCCTTGTTGTATCCAATTCTTCAAAAATATTATCAGTAGGTTGATGTTCAACTGAAATATTTCTTAAATGTATAGATGGTGTTGGTGTGGAACCCCCAGATGAAGCCCCATCAGGAGAACATGATGATGATGTGGGTGAAGATTGAACAGGCGATAATGAAGTAGAACGTCGTCTTGAAGGTTCAGATGCAACCTCTTTTGTTTGACAAATAACGAATGATGGTATTTGATCTGTTTGAACAGAATCTCCTGGATAAAAAGTTGTTATAACTTCCATATATTGTCCATTCTTTTTTAGAATGTGATGTTTTAAGCTATGAGTATTTCCATCTTTTGCTGAAGTCAAACTTCTCGTTATATCAGTTGTGCGGTCAGACCGAACATAATGATATATTGAAGTTCCTACTAATTCTTCTGATGTATAATTTAATAAATTTTGACATGCAGAAGATGCATATAAAAATAATCCATCTATTGATAATTTTGTCCAGAATTCTTGATCCGTTATTCCTCCAATTGTTTGGAGATCTTTCCATTGTAATTTATAAACAGGTCTTTCACGAGCTGAAAGTATCACACATTTTCTTCCTTTTCCTTGTTCTAAATGTAATTTTCCATGTGCTTCAAACCACATATATCCTGAATGTTTACGTCTAATACGATAAACAAGGTTTACCGCTTCTACACCATTTGATGACTCTTTTAATTCTCTCATAACTGGCACAATATCACTTGGATGACATATTGATGAGAGACCACTTGCTAATAATTCTTCTACATCATATTCTAATATTCTCTTACAACTTGGTGAACAATAAAGAAATATTCCCTTTAATGAAAGGACATGAATGAAATCATCTGAATGCTCTAATAACATTTTGTACCACAGCCTTTTGCTAACTTCAGTATCGGCATTTCCTCCTATTAAATCAAATACTTCAAGTGATGCAGGAAATGGCATGGCACTATTTAAGTCTCGAATATATTCTTCAACATTATTAGATTCACCTATATAACCCACACTTGGAGGAATATATTGAGATAAGTTCATTAAAGAATAATTCACGACGTATGTGCCGTCCTTCATTTTCTCCAATATAGCGTTTGGTTGATCGACTAAATCCTTCATATTAAATATTATATTGTTGAAAATGTTAATACATCTGAAGAATAATTACAACAAATAAGGCCACACCACCACATTGATTAATGGATTAGAACCTTATTAATAACTTACGCTCATACAAATCAAACGGATAATAAATAAAATATGTATACATAATTTTGTTTTTTTTTTAAATAAATAAGTAATGTAGTTTACCATATAAAAATCATATTAATGACAATCTTTAATGATTTTTGTTTTTTCATAATTATTAAATTAACTAAAATAGCAATGATTATACTAAATTTAAAAAGGTATTACATAATGTATTAGAATATTAACATTATAAGAATGACTATATATAAAAAGTAATAGTTTCATTTATCCATAATAAAATATTACAAAATTGGTGTGGCCAAATTAAAACATGATTAATTAATCGTCAAGATATTCACGTACCACTTGAAAGCCAACAAAATAGGCAACCTCGTCACTATCCCATGTTATTGGGATAACAGTTACTAAATTGATAAATGGCTAACAAAACACAAAATATGTTAAATAAGTCATATATTAAAAGAAATAAGAAAAATGTAGCTAAAATTAATTACCTGGCCACCTTTCCTATAATTAATAATGGATGCCTGACATTCTTTTCCGGCTATCATGTGACTTTTTATATGATAAACCGCGTTGTTATCGGTATAACGACGACGCGAACCAAGAGCCACATGTCCATCTGGAGCTTGCAAAAACCTGCAATTTCGCCCAATAATTTCCGAATTAGAATACCCGGTCAGCTTTTCGAACGTATGACTGGCATATACGATCGGAAAATCATATTCACGAGCATCAACTGAAAAAAATGATGATTAAAATAAGTTATGATTTAAAAATCAAAAATAAGAGAAATTACGCGTTAAAAAAAAAATCTTTGTGTACCAACTAAAAACGAACAGCTCATATCAACAGGTCCGATATTTATCTGAGGATTTGGTCTATTTAATTGAAATTATAAATTAGATGTTAGGTTATTTATAAATAAATCATATTACCTAAAAAAAAAGAAACCTTGCAGCAACACGAGCCTAATAAATGTACCATTAATATTGAATAAGTACATAAAATAACATAAAAATAAATCTTTTTTAATTTGATTATTATAACATACCAAAACACCAAGCATATCAAATCCCGTACTAGAATATAATCCTGGGAAGTTAGTTGTTACAGCTCCTAAACCATAAGGTGATAAGTAAAATGAGGTTTTATAAGCTGATAAAAAAAAAAATCGCACTATTTAAATTTACCAACCTGTTACGGGAGGTTGTCGAATTGGACCTAAAACTGGGGGAATTATAGGTAAATTTGTAGATCTTGCTGAACCACTTGATCCACTGCCAGATCCAATGTTTCCCACATTACTTCCCATTACATTACTCAAATTAAATAAAGGATCCATAGAAGAAGGAATGTTACTTATATCGTAAGGCGAAGGTTCAGTTGATTGTTGTTTAATCAATTGGGTATCATCCTGATTTGCAGCAACCGGTGTAGTTCTTCTTTTTAGAGCAATTTCAGGTCAAATAAATAATGTTTACCAACAAAAGAAAATCAGAAAAGAAAAGATTCTTGATACTTACAATGTACTATTAGCAAAAGCTGGATTATATGGAAATGTAACAGAAGCAGTGCTTAAGAAATTTCCCGCCTCCTGTTGTGTTGAGTTTTCAGTAGTGCCTAGAAGATCTTCCAAATATTCATCCTGATAAGACATTATTTATTGTAATAAAGTCGACTAAAGTCGATCAAACGTTTCAAATAACTCTTTAAAGAATTGGTTGGCAAATATATAATATTTATTATTTTATTTTTATTTTTTATTTTAGTCAGTAAGTTGATATATCTTTGAGCACAAAAAAATAAAATATTTCAATAATATATTACAAGACGCACGTGCAAAATACAAAGATGGGTATATAATAGAAAACGAGTGAAAAACCAAAACGAGTTGGTAAGATAATAAAAAAAAAAAAAAAAAAAAATTTTTTTTTTAAAGAGTGAGAAAAAAAAAAAGAACACAAGACACAGATAAATGAATGGGAATAAAATAACAAAAATCACATGTGTAACAAAAGTTTATTTGTTGTTGGAATAATAAAAAATCTCCAACTTTTTTGATATTGCTGATTATTATCCTGTTAGTATGTTAAATCATATACAAATAAGGTTACGTTGAATTATTTATATTTATTCAGCCATATTTCCTTTTGTTAAATCAAAAATTTGTTTTTGGTTGGTAAAATATTTTTTAAGGTTTTTTTTTTATCTTGTACTTAAAGTAAAAAAAATGCGTGGCTCTCTGACATGGTTAACCATATGTACCCCTATCTTCTATTATTAATTGCATATCAAGTAGAATTTAAACCTTATGTAGAAACCATTCCGAAGAATAATTTGCCTTTCAATTAGATTACAAGGAACAGGAAACTTGTATATCAACTTGTATATCAACCGAAATGTTTAGTTAATACCTAATTTCGCTGCGGTTATTCAGAATACGAAATTTAGAAAATTAAAAACCATTCAATCGCCCGAAAATTGAACTTTTAAGAAAAGTTCATTATTTATAAAACGTCATTTTTTATCATAATAATTACTATAACATTAATTATTAAAATAATGCAACTTAATAATTAAATACTTAAAATTATTATTGGTTTATATTTAGATTCACATTTCTTCGGAGATCCCGAAATTTCTAAATATCGAGTGTTGGGTCCTTTATCTCGAAAATTCCGGCAAAAAAATTTTTGATTTTATAATACGGTCCTGAGGAAAAAAACTTGTTTATTGTTGATCAATATAAATATGAACACTAAAAACACATTCATTTTATTACATAATGTGTGATCATAATTACCTAATCGAGAAAATTCTTTTTAAGGCAATACTTCGAAACATCCGTTACATCGCATTCAATAAACTAGTTGATAAAATGAAATCGTTGGTATCTTTTTTATTTTTTGAAACTGATTTAAATTATCATCTATCTTAATTTAAAGTTACCATAATCGGATAATAAAAAATTTCATGTGACGAAATAGTTTATTACTTCATTATTTGGAATCGTTACTTAGAAATGAACTGTCAGTTATTCCATATTATTATCGTAATTCTATTTAAAGAAAGATATTCCACTAATCTTATATCCCTTAAATAAAGACCCTTACAGTTATAACTAGAATGGTAATGATTACGCCTACAGTCTATCCCACTTTTCTTATTTTAACTTAAATATTTCAGCAGATCTTATAGTTGTTAGAGTGTGTAACCATTTTGATGATCATTACCTATAGGTTATCCTACAGGGAATTGACTAACCTATAGGTATTAAATTAAAATGGTAGATTAAACCCATTTCTTTGCTTCGCTAACACTGAAGAGATGATTTTTATCGATGATCAGAGTTTGATAGTGGCATTGAAACATTTATAAGATAATTATGTAATATCTTAGATAGATCTTAACCTCGATTATATTGGATATATAAAACTCCGTTATTTTATATGTTTAGATTAAAATTAAAAAGACAATCTTTGAGAACAATTAATATATCGTACATTATATTAAATAATAAAAAAAACTCAATCCTTATTTGGTATAACAACAAAGAGAAATATTTGGGTATTTTTCATTCGTTTAGGGTTTAAAAACATTATGCTTAATTTGTCGAGTCTTTTTGTTTAGTAATAAAGAAAATAGTATACTGTAATTGGATAGATTATAATTATTTTAGTTTTGTCATATGACTATAATATGACAATCACGATCATCAAATACTTTTAAAGTCTTTTTAAGAAAATTTTTTTCATGTCAAAAGAAAATAATATCGTTGAGTATGGACCTTCCGAACTTGGCACAAAAGAATATTGGGATTCATTATATGATCGTGAGAATAAAAATTTTCAAGAAAATGGTGATATCGGAGAAATTTGGTATTTTATTTTTTCTGACATCATGGATTTTTTTTTTTTTTTTTTTTCCAATTAAAAATAATATATTTAAAAGGTTGAATTTTATTTTAGGTTTGGAGAGAATAGTGTAGAAAAAATGGTAGATTGGGTACTTTGAAAAAAAAATTCTTTTTATGTTATATTTCATTTTGTTATTGATTTCAGTCTCATCAAAACATTTTATATTAATAGGTTCTTAAAAATGGATCCATATCATCCACCACAATTCTTGATATAGGTTGTGGGAATGGTCATCTTCTCCTAGAATTAGCTTCCAACAATTTCAGAAATTTAATAGGAATAGATTATTCATCAAATGCAATTAAATTAGCAAGAGATATCATTAAACAACGTAATCTTAATGATATAATATCATATTATGTTATTGATTTAATTAATTCATCTATTACAGAAAATAATGAATTCTGGTTAAATGGATCAAGAAAATTTGATATAATATTGGATAAGGGTACTTTTGATGCTATTACTCTTTATCCTTATGAAATTAATGAAGGGGAAAGGAAAGGAAAATATCCAAAGGATATTTATTCAAGTAAAGTTCATTCTTTATTAAATATAAATGGTTATTTCTTAATAACAAGTTGTAATTTTACTAAAGAAGAGTTGATTAGCAAATTTAGTGATGGTAAGTGTAGAAAATTTTATCTTTCCTTTATTTTATTCTTATTTATTTTATTTCTTCTTTTTTTTTTTAGAATTTGATTATTTTGATCATATAAAATATCCAACTTTTACATTTGGTGGGGTTAAAGGACAAACTATTTCAACTGTAGCTTTTAAACCAAAAAAAAAAATTATTAATTAATTAATTAAAATATGAAATTTTCATCAAATAATATCATTAAGTTATGTGATCGTATTGATGAGTATTTTTATAAAGATAATATTAAACTTTTTGTGGACAAACTTCCAAATGAATTACCATTTAATATCGCAAAAGGAAATTTCGGAGTCACAGTTTTCACTATTGCATATGATAATGGTAAAATTTTCATTTATTCCTTTGGTGGAAATTAGGTTACAAAAAGGTGTTAATAAGGAAATATTAAAGCGATTTATATATTAAACAGTAATTCAAAGGAGAGAGAATTTAATTCGCAAAAAAAACCAATTTATAACTTTTCTTTTGAACTATAAAAATGCAAGTACAACAAATATTAAATGAAAATGATGAAAATGCTAAAGGTTATTTTTTTATTGATGGTAAACAATATTATGTTTCTTTTCCCGTAATTAATCATGACCATGATGAAAGAGGATATTCATTCGAAAGTTCTGCAAATTTGATAACTAATTATGGAGTTCGAAACAACAAAAAAGTAAATTGTATAGTATTACATTGGGATGTATGTGGTTCAGTAAGAGATTGTTTTCGTTTGTTGTGTCAAAGAGGATTATCAGCACATATAATGATAGATGGGGATGGAACTGTATATCAAATATTGGATTTAGCAAAATCGGCATTTCATGCAAAAGATTGGAATCAAACTTCAATTGGTATAATGTTACAGAATCCTGTTGACCCACCAAATAATGATCGTAATAGAGACATTGTTGAGAGTAGAGAACCCGGTAGCAATATACTATATTCTCATCTGGATTTTACTGATGAACAAAAAGAAACGGTGGTAAAAGTTTGTGATGATTTATGTAAAATATTTACCAGTATACCAAGAATTTTACCTCCTCTTGGTGAAGACAATTTGATTACTACTGCTACTTTACCAATAGAACAAAGAATTGGTATTCTTGCTCATTATAATGCTCAACGTGATAGATATGGTCCTGGTGATTCTTTATGGGTGGAATTTTATAAAGCTAACTATATTATTAGAGATTAAAAAGCATTTGATAAATTTAAAATTTTAAAAATATGTATTTTTTATTTATTCATTTATTTTTTTTCAAAATTTTCTGTTCAATTATTATTGTGATAGTATTTTAATAAAGGTCGAAATTTGAAAATTACAATACAGTAATAGTGCGAAATTCGTCTTTAATTCCAGCCAAAATTATACTTCGACTGATTTAAAACTCTTCGTTTATAATTCTGGTTAGAAATAATCGGTATTAGTATCCCTTTTCATTAGCCCTCAATTAAAGTTATTTTTTTTAGCACTATTATAAGTATTAATACACAAATGTACAGTACATACAGTATTAAAAGAATTCTCTTATACCAAATGAATAATTTTAAGAAAATATGAAAAAATTTATTTACAAATATTATTATTAACACAGATTTTCATATAAATCTATTTATATTTATACTTTTAATGGAATTTTTTTATGATATTTATAAAGAAACAGTATAATTTTTTTTTTTTTGTTGCAGCACATTTGGATACTTTATTAGAATATGAATACATTGAGATATATAATTAAAACAAATAAACTAATATAATTAAGCATCAAACCATCTATCCATCACTTAGGGCAACCATGTGTATACTGTTAGGTGGAACTCTGGACTAGGGAAGTAAGTACTCCTTGAAGGAGTCCTTTTTTAGAAGAGTCTCCCTCTTTCTGTCTATGCCCTGTAAGCGTCTGAGAAACTTACTATAATTGCAACATAAAACCCAGGACAAAAAAAAGAAATATAAAGGAGTAAAACAACAAAAAAGCCAGAGTAAAAATAATAAAATAAAAAAAAGGGATTAATATATGATTCGATTAATGAGTTTTACTATAGTGTTTTATTCACCCTATCTATACACTGGTAAAAAAATGATTTATCCTACACATATCTTACACATATTGGGTACTTAAAATGTAGAAAATCATACACAAATAATACACATATCATACACATATCGGGTACTAATATATATATCATACATATATCAGGTACCTGATAGGTATACTATATATATAAGTACCCGATATGTGTATGATATGTGTATTATTTGTGTATGATTTTCTACATTTTGAGTACCCGATATATGTAAGATATGTGTAGGA